ATTTTGGATTTCTCCGAGTTTGGGGGTTAGGTCGCGGTCGAACCGGTTAGATCAGCCGATCCGATCCGAAATTTACAACCTTGATTGAAAGGATTTGAGATTAATCAATTTAAATCTAACTTTTTCATTAAAACTAAATAGGAAAAGATAAATTACAATCTCTCTTGTTTATGTAATTACAGCCACCCCATGATGTATTTTCCGTCTTACATTTTCTCCCTTACATACATATATCCTACAATCCTAACAAAAGAGAAGAGAAATATTTTTAGAAAAACATTAGTAAAGAAATATCTTATGTGAGCGTGCTTGGTACAGTTGGTGTGGAAAAATTTGAACATCCAGACGCCCTCACGCCATACGAGTGCGCATGGTACAGAAGGTGATCAACAGTCAGGCGGGCCTGTCTGTCCCAATTTTCGGATTTTTCAAAAATAATAATATAAAAGAAAAAGTTAATCTTGTTTTCCCTTATTTTCTCATTTCTTTCATTTTTTTATTCTTTTCTTTTCACTCCGACAGATCCACACACATCGAAACACATGTAAGTTCTATTTCTCCTCTCTTTTCTTGCACGTGATGTGGTCCAAAAAGTAAGTTGGTTGAAGGCTTATAAGATTCATGCATATTTTGAATTCCAATTGAACTAGTTGTGTGCTTGTGCATTGAGGACACTACTTTCTTCTATGTTTAGGGGAGGAGTATGTTCCATTTCAGTCATTTATGCTACTAGTTGATTGATGGTTTCGCATACTAGTTGTTATTTTTGCATTTAGAGATTGCATTATTTTAGGACATGCATTGCATCCTAGTTGAGTCTTTGTTGGCCAAAGTTTAATGATTAATATTTTTTTTTTGATATAACTTAGAAGCAAGATGTAGTAGATAGTTGCGAATTTTGTGATTTTTCTGCTGAGAATATTGTAGTTGTATTTAGAGAATCTTTATGTTGTATCATACATTTTTTTATTTTAAGTGAAGTAGTGAATGACTTAGCAATTGGGTTGAAGAATGAGTTAGGTATTGAATGTGCGATGCACGGGATAATTTAAAAAATAAAAAAAACATTTACATAAAATAAGATACTAAAAACTTTCAATATTTGAATATAATATGACATAATAAAAATATCATTATGTTTTATTGAAGTACCCAATAAAACAAAATAAATAATAAACATATTAAATATGAAAAGTGTGATATTAAATAGGATACATTATTGGATACAAAATGATACAACTATCTCGACCAACACACTCGAGTCGCTAATGTGAAACTTAATTATCAAAGTGGAGTTTGAAAACACATTTATTGATGGAACTCATCTAATTAATGCCTACCGAGTAACTTACATATTGTTAATTGGTCATACCGATACTCATATTGATACTCATACTAATATACATACTGATACTCATACTCAAATACTAATACTTATATTAACATTGATATCAATACTGAGACTGATACTTATACTCATACTCATACAAATACTCATAGTCATATTCATACTCATACTCATACACACTCATACTCAAACTCTACTAAAAGTCATGATTGTACTCGTACTCGTACTTGTACAAATTCTCATTGTCATTGTCATTCTCATACTCATACTCATGCATAATTATACTCGTACGTACTCAAACTCGTACTCATAGTCATACAGATATTCATACTCATATTAATACTCATACTAATACTCATACATATATACTAAGATAATTTTCAGCATTCAAGCATGAGATAATCAGTAATTGTCCATATATATATATATATATATATATATATATATATATATATATATATATATATATATATATATATATATATAATTGATATGTTTACCATAATATTTTATTTTTTTCTATATTTTCTATACCATAATATTTATTTATAACTTTGTTTTATTTTTATGTAACTGTGTATTTTTTATACTTAGTGTTATTTTAATTTATTTATATATATATATATATATATATATATATATATATATATATATATATATATATATATATATATATATATATTTTATATATATATATATATATATATATATATATATATATATATATATATATATATATATATATATATATATATATATATATATATATATATATATATATATATATATATATGTTCTAGGGGAGTGGCACCGCGCTATGCGCGGTACGTAATGCCCAATCCACGTAAAATATTCTAGGGGGTTTTGAGCATAAGTACTCAACCAATATGATCGAGATATTCAAAGGACTCAACGATCTACATAGAGTGATAGAGCACTGTAGGTACACCCGTATATATATATCTATATATATATATATATCTATATATATATATATATATATATATATATATATATATATATATATATATATATATATATATATATATATATATATATATATATATATGTGTGTATG